TAATGACCTTCAATGGGTTGCCTCCCATTCAGCGCTTTGTTTAAAGTCATTAGCTTGACTGTATGGCACTTCCTTAAGGATCTGGTGGATCGCCAAGAGCTAGTGTGGTCTCCTGTGGTATTGTGGTGGAAGCTAGTAAGGGTTTTAACCTTTGTCCATTGACTGTAAAGTCTCCTCCCATTGGTCCCATAGTACCACTGCTCCATAGGGGCGAACTTCTTTAATCCTGAATGGTCCTGACCATCTTGAGCGAAGCTTTCCTGGAAAGAGTTTCAACCTTGAGTTGAATAGTAGAACTTGGTCGTTTGGCGCAAAGTTCTTTGGGATGATCTTGCGGTCATGGAAAGCTTTGGTTCTCTCCTTATAGATCTTTGAATTCTCATAGCCAGATGCCTAATCTCATCAAGCTCATTCAGCTGAATCAATCTTCTTTCTCCTGCTGTCTTTAGGTTGAAGTTCAACTCCTTAATAGCCCAAGCTGCTTTGTACTCCAGCTCTACAGGTAAATGACATGCTTTACCATAGACAAGATGAAAGGGGGTGGTACCAAGTGGTGTTTTGAAGGCAGTGCGGTATGCCCATAGAGCATCATCTAGTTTGGCACTCCAATCCTTCCTTGTCTTGCCTGTTGTCTTCTGAAGTATGCTCTTGAGTTCTCTGTTTGAGATCTCAACTTGTCCACTAGTTTGGGGTGGTAAGGAGAGGCAACTTTGTGAGTGACTCCATGCTTCTTCAAAAGGTTGGCAAAGATTCTGTTGATGAAATGTGAACCTCCATCACTTATGACTATCCTAGGCACTCCAAACCTTGGAAAAATGATGGATTTAAACATCTTGATGACCACTTGTGCGTCATTAGTAGGGCTGGCGATGGCTTCCACCCATTTAGAGACATAATCAACTGCACTAGAATGTATTGGTCGCCAAAAGAGGTTGGGAAGGGTCCCAAAAGTCAATGCCCCAACATCAAAAACTTCAACTTCTAGTATAAAGTTCTGCGGCATCTCATTCCTCTTGCTTATATTTCCCATTCTTTGGCAAGCATCACATCTTGATATGAATGCATGAGCATCTTTAAACATAGTTGGCCACCAAAATCCAGCTTGTAGGACCTTGGATACTGTCTTGTAAGTAGCAAAGTGGCCTGCATAACTAGAACTATGACAAGCAAACAATATTCCTTCTACTTCTTCCTCAGGGATGCATCTTCTAAACATTCCATCTGAACATTTCTTGTATAAGTAAGGTTCATCCCAGTAGTACCTTCTTACATCACGCAGAAACTTCTTCTTTCTGTAGCCAAAGAAGTTTGGTGGTGGGTATTCAGCTGCAAGGAAGTTTGCTATGTGGCGAAACCATGGTGTGTTTGATGATGAGATCTTTGTTCCTGGCCTGTGATGGCTAGTTGTCCATGCTTATTGCTAGCTTCAGCTGCATAAACTGTTTCTTCAGGTAGCCTATCATCAAGAGGTAGTTTTCTTCAACTCTCATCCTTGAAAGGTGATCAGCTACTCCATTATCTGCTCCTCTTCTATCCTTTGATCTCAAGATCAAATTCTTGCAATAGTAGTATCCATCTCAGCAATCTTTCTTGGATAAGAGATACCTTAATGCTGCATGATCAGAATGAACTATAACTTTCGATCCCACCAAGTATGATCGAAACTTTCTCAAATGCAAAGACAATAGCTAGAAGCTCCTTTTCTGTTGTGGCATACTTGCATTGTGCCTCATCAAGCGTTCTGCTGGCATAATAGATCACATGTAGCTTCTTGTCTTTTCTTTGCCCAAGCACTGCTCCTACTGCATAATCACTTGCATCACACATTATCTCAAAAGGTAGTTCCCAGTTTGGAGGTTGAACTACTGGCGCACTGACCAATGCATCTTTGATCTTAGTGAAAGCCTTGTGACACTCCTCTGTGAACTCAAAGTTAATATCCTTGCATAAAGGCGTGTTAGCGGCCTTGCTATCTGCGAGAAATCTTTAATGAACCTCCTGTAGAATCCAGCATGTCCTAGGAAGCTTCTGATATCTTTGACTGTCTTGGGCGGCTGAAGGTTTGTCATACTTCAATCTTGGCCTTGTCAACTTCTATGCCTCTCTCTGAGATTCTATGTCCAAGCACTATTCCATCTCTAACCATAAATGGCACTTCTCCCAATTTAGAACTAGGTGCTTGTCTTCACATCTCTGTAGCACTCTTCCAAGATTTCCCAAACATGATTCAAAGGAAGAACCATATACTGAGAAATCATCCATGAAAACCTCCATAATCTCTTCTATTAGATCTGTGAATATGGACATCATACACCTTTGGAATGTAGCTGGAGCATTGCACAATCCAAAAGGCATTCTCCTATAAGCATATGTGCCATAGGGACAAGTGAAGGTAGTCTTCTCCTGATCATCTGGGTGGATTGGAATTTGGAAAAATCCTGAGTATCCATCCAAGAAACAGTAGTATTGATGATTGGCAAGGCGCTCAAGCATCTGATCTATGAATGGCAGGGGTAGTGGTCCTTGCGCGTAGAGGAGTTCAGCTTCCTGTAGTCAACACACATTCTGTGTCCTGTGATTGTCCTTGTTGGAATGAGCTCATCATGTTCATTCTTGATGACTGTGATTCCTCCTTTCTTTGGCACGACATGTACAGGGCTGACCCATGCACTATCTGATATTGGATAGATCACTCCAGCTTTCAACAGCTTCATTATCTCCTTCTTGACAACTTCCTTTAGGTTTGGGTTTAGCCTCCTTTGGATGTTCAATGGAAGAACTAGACTCATCCTCCAGGATGATGCGATGTGTGCATAGTTCAGGTGAGATTCCTGTTAAATCATCCAAAGAGTAACCAAGAGCCTTTCTATGCTTTCTCAGTTCGCGAACAAGTAAAGCGGTCTCTTCTTTTGTTAGTGCAGCATTAACAATAACAGGATATGTTTCATTAGGACCAAGATATTCATACCTTAGACCAACTGGGAGTTGTTTGAGCTCGGCTTTTGGAGCTCTAAGTGGGCACCATGGGTCGAACTTAACCTTGGTTTGTGATATTTCCTGACCTTGTCAATGTCTGGCTCTTCCTCTTCTCTCTCTAAGTCCATATAAGCTATTAGCTCTTATAATGCTTCCTTGGAATCCATGAACTTGACTAAGCATTGAGCTTCTCTTTCCATGTATCCATACTCATTTTCAGCCTTTGTCAAAGCTAGCTCCAAGGGTCAATAAGAAGGAGTTCATCCAGCACTTCTTCTCTTGTCTCTGCGAGCTCTCCAATCCAAAAAGCTTGACCATCTACAGTTGGTTTCTCCATGGACTTGTTCACCTCGAAATTCATCACTATATCTCCAAGATGCAAGTCAATCTTTCCATTCTTGACATCTATTATAGCTCCTGCAGTAGCTAGGAATGGCCTTCCCAAGATAAGAGGGTCTTTAGGTTGGTGTTCCAGCTCAAGAACTACAAAATCAGCAGGGATGTAGCAATCTCCAACCATGATTGGAACATCCATAATAACACCAACAGGGCGGCGAACAGATCTGATCTGCAAAGACTAGAGATATCTTTGTAGGTTTGAAGTCAGTGATGCCCAATAGCTTGGCCACTGAGTAAGGCATTAAGTTCACACTAGAACCCAAATCACAAAGTGCTCTATGGAAGTGTGTAGAACCGATCTTGCAAGACAAAACAAAACTCCCTGGGTCGTTCAGCTTCTCTGGCATGCGATTCTGAAGTATGGCACTACACTCCTTTGTAATCATCATTGCTCCTTCTTCAAGACTCACATTGCTTGTGAGTATGGCCTTCATATATTTCCTGAGAGATGGAATTATCTGGCAGGCATCAATGAAAGGTAACCTTACTGAAAGTTGGCTAACAAGATCCTTGAGCTTTGCTTGCTCCTTCTCCTTCTTGGGTTGAGAAAGAACATTTCTGTATGGGATCTTTGGCTCATACACTCTTGGTTCTTCAGGTGGCTTCTCCACTTCCTCCTGAGTTCCTGGTTCTATTCTGACATGGACTTCCTTAGGTGGTTCAGTCCCATCTCCAATAATGACATACTCCATTGGTTTCTTCTTGATTGGCGGCATTGCTTCCTCTTGATCTGGGTATGCTGGCGGCTCATACCCTTTTCCATTCCTAAGAGTGATAGCTGCTACAGCTGCTCTCCTTGGATTGATTTCCACTTTTCCTGGTAGCATACCTTCTTCTCTCTTAATAGAGCTGGCTATGTTGGCAACTCTAAGATCCAAGTCTCTTGTGAAAGAAGAAATTGAATCCAACTTCTCATTCAATCTCGTGAAAGCTGACTCCAATCTCTCATCAATCAAGGCTGTATGCTCTCTATGAGAACTCTTGATGAAAGTTATCAAATCTTCAAAGTTGCTCCTTGGCTCCATTCTTCTCTTGTGAGGTGGTTGCTGATAATTTCTTCCTCCATGAACATCCCTCTTTCATTGGGTGATTCTTGGTTGTAAAAACATCATGCTCTCCTTTCCAAGCTTCTTCTCCATGTGCCAATCCATCTATTCCAACAAAGTTTACTTCTTCTTGAAAGCTTGGAATCAAATCTCCAAAGTAGTCTTGAATTATTGTGGACTCAACTCTATAAGCTTCTCTTTGTCTCTCCACTTCTCTTCCTTGGTTTCTCAGTATCTCAGCCATCATGGCTTTGATCTCACTGTATCCATCTCTGTATGGATCAGAATTTATGGCCTTCACTGCTCTCTCATGCCCAATGAAGTTGTCACTGTCGCTTGAGGCTAGATTTTCAATCAAAATCTTTGCTTCAGTAACTGTCTTGGTCATGAAATTTCCATTGCTGGCTGTATCAAGAGAAAATCGACACTTCCCACTTATTCCTCTGTAGAAAATGTTCCATAGACTGCCATCAGATAGCCATGTTAGGACACTCTCTTGTGTAGTCCTTAAAGCGCTCCAATGCTTCATGAAAAGGCTCCACCGGCCCTTGTTGGAAACTAGAGATCTTTTCTCTCAACAAGTTTGCTCTTTGCTTTGTGAAAAAGTGACCTAAGAATGCCACCTTGTACTCTTTCCATGTGGTTATGGATTGAGCTGGAAGAGACTTAACCCAGCGCAAAGCCTTCCCTGTCAAAGTGAAAGAGAATAGTTTGCACTTTAAGTACTCCTTGGGTGCACCTCCTGCACTGATGGTGCCACAGATTTCTTCAAAGCATCAATATGTTCCAAAGGATTCTCCTGGGGTTTTCCTTGGAACTGGTTTTGTTTCACCAAACCAATGATCTCCGGCGAAATCTCATAGCTTCTTCCTTCAGGAAGTGGCGGCTGGATGGGATTCCGATTCGATTAGTAGTGTTGGATTGGAATCGAAGTCTCCCATGACTTCTTCATTGTGTCGCGCTCCATCTCTCGGCATCCATCATTGGCGCGATCGTGCGCGGCATTCGGATCCGGGCGGATCTTCGTGCTGCTCGGCCAGCGCGATCTCTCTCGCGGCCAAGTTATCTCTCTCCTCTTGATCGTCTGAATCACTCATGTTAGAGTCCTTCTTTCAAGCTTAGTACCTGAAAGGGGTAGAGGCAAGATTCTTTTAAATAGAAAACAGTAAAAAGGAAAAACAAAAGTTGAAAATTTGCAAAAACAAAAAGGAAAAACGAAATTCTAGACTAGACTATAGTTGGGAACTCGAAGGTAGCTGTATTGCTCCCCGGCAACGGCGCCAAAAACTTGATCGCGGGATCAGGTCTTCCCTTTTCCTATCCCTGATTCTGCAAGTGCACAGGTCAGAAGTAGTAAACGGGTATCGAACACAAGGAGCAGATAAGTACACTTCGAGTATTGCAAGTCTAATATAGCTAGAAAACAAGTATGATTTAGGGTTTTCGATTGTGTAACAAAGGAAATCAAACAGCAGATTAAACGGTTTATGAAAATCAATAAAGGGAAACGCTAGGCAATGAGAAACTCGCAGAGATTCAAGGTTAACAAGATATTAGAAGGGTTCGCTAGGGTTTGCGCTATCTAGAACTCAGGTCACGATTGTATGATCTTTCCACTGTCGAGGCTCCGACCCCTTTGTTAATCTACCTAGTCGCTAAACTTTTGGTATGTCCCTAGGTGATTAAATCAAGCAATAGTTCGTTCAAGACCCAATTGTTCACAACCCCGCATAGATCAACTTTCGCAGTCTATGAAGTTTTGCTCACCAAATACTTAGTTCAGGTTATATAGCAAGCTTTTGGAGAGTATATGAAACCTAAGATCTGATGCTAGTTGATCAGAAAAGCAAGCAGCAATGAATTCAAGCAGATGAAGATGCAATATAGTAAACCCTATGCGATTCTAACAACCTATCAAACCATGAACTCTTTGATAGATCTCACAACCTAACTAGTGAATTACTCAGACATAATCAAAGCAACAACACAAAGAGATGAAGAAAACATGATTGCAATAAAACTCAAAGTATGAAATCGTGATACAAGGCGGCTCTCTTTTCACAAGAGGCTAAAAAGCTATATATATAGTGCTAGGTCTTTAGAGGCGGCTTAGGGTTAAGCCGGGCCTTGAAAATATGTGAAACGGGCTTCAAAACGGGCTTCGGGTCGACCGCGGCGTTGGACGGTCGGTCGGGACGATCGGCCGGATGATCGGGTCATGGCCGCTCCTAGTACGATCGGAACGGTCGTGGCCGGACGGTTCGCGGTCGGCCGCTGTGGTCGGACGGTGAAGATTGGCCGATGATTTCTCGGCCGGACGCGGGACGTAGTTTCCCGGCTCGGACGGCGCATCGGCCGTGGTACGCGAGACAGGTTGCGCGGCCGCGAGGCTTTTTCCCGGCTCGCGCGGCATGGTCGTGCGCGGCATGGCGTGAACGGTTGTGGCGTGGCCGACCGCGGGCATGTTTCCCGGGTCGTGATGCGTATCGGCCGAACGGTTTGAACTTTGGCCGAGACTTCAGACGGACGGATGTGATTTGGCCGAGCGTGAAACAAACGTTTCTCGGCCAGCCGGTCTGCGCGGTTTGGGCGCTGATTCTCGATAGAGCCGTCTGGACAGTCTTCACTCTTTTGGTTGTAACTCCTTTTCTACTCATCCAAATGAGGCCATTCCAGTTGCGTTGGAAAGTTAACTCAATCAGAGCACGCAGGGAACTGGTCTTGATGAAATCCATTGAGTAGATCTTTTTCTGGGCCCTCTTAAAGTTGATGCTTGTGCATGGAGCGGCTTGAAGTGCAAATCCTATGGTTTTGCTCCAAAATGCATCATTTCACCTGTTTAGACTCTAGACACTATAAACACAGTAAAACTACCTTTTTAGATAGAAAACCTGCCAAAAACCATTAGAAAACAATACTAAAACAGTATAAAAAGTAGGTAAAATAGAGGTATATCAAATAAATTCAAAATAAAAGAAAAATAAAGAGAAATTCATTAAAATGAAGATAGGGATAGAAAATGGAGATTTGTAAGTGTCCATTGCACTAAGTACCACTTGAGATGACTATGTGTGGCAGTGAGAAGAACTCTCTTCCTCTTCTATGGGGTCATCGCCTTCTGAACCAAGCTCTGAGTCTAGTGAGAACTCACCAAGGTCAGGCTCATATGGTTCTCTAGCGGTGAGAGAAGGGCGAAAGAGTCTCTCCGGTGCAATGTGGCGAACTACATGAACAAGGCGCGAGATGAAGCGAGATTGGCACTCCACGATCTTCTCCAGCTTGCTCGCACGGTCTAGGGCTTGGTTCGCGGCCATGCCAGTGGTGAGAACATGGCGTTCTTGGTGGCGGCGTTGAGCTTTGACTGTGCGCTGAAGTGTGCGATATGTGAGGATGGGGAATGATGGTTTCTCACTTGATGGAACATAGAAGTCTTCCTCCTTGGGCTGGAAAGTGACAACACCTGAGCGTAGGCTTGGGATATCTTCATGTGGCAGCAAGACAAGCGAAGTGTTGGTTGGCCAATTGGAAACTCATAGCAAAACTTGGTTGGGTTTTGAGTCCAACGGTTTAGGAAGTGGATTTGCTGAAGGGCATGGAGATCCAAAGGGATTGGCTTGGGTAGTGGCTCATAGTTAGGAATGGCAATTCCACATGTTCTATTATGGCTGTGATGAGTCTCCCAAAGCAAACAACAAAGCTTCTTGTTGCCTTCCAAGTCTTTAGCTAGATTCCTCACATTGATGAGTGTCTTGGCAAGCAAGAGGCCAAGGTTGGCCTTGTACTCATGCTTGATGAATGGTGTGGTGAGGATGTAGAACTCATAGGTTGTGACCTTGTTGGCTTCTTGTTTGCATTGGAAAGTGGTGGAGATGAGGCGGTGCACATAGCGAATGGCTGGATGAGTGATTCTAGACACCTTTGATCTTGAAGGCAAGAATGGTTCATTGGCAAAGTGTGTCCAATCAGCAAAGGCAGCTTGTTTCCTCTTTGAGTTCTCCTTGAAGTCATGTGCTGTCTCATTGGGAAGTCCAAAGAGTTGGCATAGAGCTGAGATGAGATGCGCCCATTGGCATCGCCTATCTTGAAGAGTAGGAGTCCATCACCAGCTGGTTGGTCTCCATTGTGGTTGGGAAAGGCAAGAGCTACTGTGGAGAGGAACTCCTTTGTTAGCATTGAGTACTCGCTGCACTATATCTTGAATAGCTTGCTCAAGCCAAGCTTCCTTATGTACCATGTGACATCATCTCTTATCTTGAGAAGGTCAAGGGTTGGGTGTCCATCTTCACACAAGGTTCTATGTTCACCTTCTCCATTGCCTTCTTGCACTTTCTTGGGTCTTGGATTTGTCCTCCAACAAAGCTTACAAGTGCCCAATCTTCTTCTCTTCTTGGACTCTCCACATGTTCTTGATTTGCATCAATGGGATGTGGTGATGTTGGTGTTTCTGCTCTAGCATTGGAGCTGCTACTCCCTAGCTTGATTTGTTTCCTTGGTGGTTGCATAGATGGATCTTTCTTCTTCTTCATGGCTTCACCTCCTTTTGTCCTTGCCATTGGGTACCTTGGCCGAGGCCGAACAATTGCTTCCCGGATCGACCGGCACGGTCGGTCCGTTCCGATACATAAATCCGGCCGAGCGCGGCCTGTTTCCTTCCTGGCCGTGTGTTCCGCGCAGACGGTTTTGTCGCGCGATAGAGCATCCGGCCGAGCGAGAGCCGTTGATCCTCCAGGTCTTTTCTCCTTTAGCTTGACTGTAAGGCTTGGCGCTCAGGAGAAGATGGAGAATAGAGGCATCTTTGATCCTCCAGGTCTTTTCTCCTTGCAATGAACATCTGGTGGGTGATTCACAGCTGGATAGACAATCTCTCCATGGATGTCCCTTGGCACAAATGCCTTAGGAAAAAGTTGCAGAGTTCTTGTAACTTTCTCCTTGAATCCTTCCAGATTCTCATCAATAAACTCCTTTGGGAATAGAAGCTTCATGTTGCGGTCAAACCTAGGCTCTCTCACCTTTCTTCTTGGCTTGGCCTCATCTTCAATCTTGGATGATCCCTTGGGAGGTTTGGGTGTAGGGGCCTTAGTCTTACTCCTTGCTTGTGTGGCAAGCTGCTTGGGCTTAGGAATGGGATCTTCCTTGATTGTATCTTCAGTTTCTCCTTCTTAGGGTGGCTTCAAAGTAACTTTCTCCTCTTGGACCATGTCAACGAAAGAGTTCTTTGTTGAACACATAGGGAAGAACATACCCTTGTTCACCTTGTTGAAGGAGATTCTTTGATTGGGGAAATCAAATATGGCACCCACAGTAGACAGGAAAGGGGTTCCAAATATGAGAGGTCTATGGCTACTCTCTCTCATTTCCACAATCTGAAAATCGGTGGGGATAGAGATTGCTCAAGAATGTTACCTTTGATGATACAAGGCACAACAAACTTTCCTGAGTTATCAGCCTTGGGATGATCTTTGGAAAGAGTCTCCTTTTCTAGCTCGATTGGACTCTCTCTCTGGGTAAATCTCTTCAGGCCAAATCATGCAATCAACAGTAGGTTTTGAAAGCATCCATTCTGGAACTTGATCTTCAAATCTTTCTTCTATGGCGGCTGAGTTGCAAAAGGACTTCTTGGATTCAGCTTCCTGTCTCTTAACAGCTTCCATAGTTTGGGTGACTTGAGTCTCTAGTTTCTTCACATGAGTGGCAACAGCATCATACTTGGTATTGAGATTGCTGAACAAAGTGTCCATCTTCTCATACATCTCTTTGCTATTCCTTTTCTGGCCATCCATGATCTGTTGGAGGATTCCTTCAAATCTTCCACCTTGTTGGTTTGGAGGAGCTTGATTTGGTGAAGAAGCATATGGCTCCTTGGGCGGATATGATGTTCTCTGCTCATACCCTTGCCTTGGCTGGAATTGACTTCCTTGAGATTGGTAAGGAGGTCTTTGTTGTTGTGGATACCTTGGAGGATACACTTGGTCTTGAGGATTCTCCACATTGGGGTTTCTATAAGACATGTTGGGGTTTGGGCGATAGCTTGGATTGTATCCCTTGTTCCCATAGTTTCCAATGTAGTTCACATCTTCTTCATTGGCTTCATTAGAGAAATCTCCCATGCATTCTCTTGATGGGTCTTCATTCGCATCACTCATCCCTTCTATTGCATTGATATGCTTGAGCTGTCCCTTAAGAACTTGAGCCATCATGTTCTTGAGTTCAGTCATTTGAGAAACATCAGGGGAGCTAGTAGTGGTGCGGCTTGAGCGATCATAATCAGGACAATTGTTACAATCACTAGCTGCAAGATTCTCAATAAGAACCTTAGCTTCATCAATTGTCTTGGTCATGAAGTTTCCATTGCTTGCAGTATCCAATGAAAGCTTGTACTTGTGGTCTATGCCACGATAGAAGATGTTCCATAGGTTTCCCTCCTTGAAACCATGATTAGGGCAGTCCCTAATGTACTCCTTGAATCGGTCTAGCGCCTCATAGAAAGATTCATTGTGGCTTGGCGAAAGTTGGAGATCTTGTTCCTTACAGAAACTGATCTTTGCTTGGTGTAGAAGTGGTTGATGAAAGCGGCCTTGTACTCATCCCAAGTGGTAATGGAGTGAGCTGGCAGAGACTTCAACCATCTTGAAGCTTTGTCGCCAAGAGAGAATGAAAAGAGCTTGCACTTCAAGTAGTCAGCTGAGACTCCATTGGATCTAGTAGTGCTGCAAATCTCTTCAAAGTTTTCTATGTGATCAAGAGGATGCTCGGCTGGAAGGCCATTGAATTGGTTCTGTCTAACCAATGCTATGATCTGAGGCTTGATCTCATAGTCATTCCTTGCAGGAAGTGGTGGATGGATAGGGTTTCTATCCGTGAAGAAAGCATCGGCAGAGTCATAGTCTCCGATTGTTTGCTCTGCTTGAGGTTGCACATTCACATCCCAGCAGGATCTTGTGGATTAGGAGGAGGAGGAGGTGGATCTCTTCCTTCTTCATTAGCGCGCGCCACTTCAGCGGCGTGAGCGCGAGCTGCTTCGTCGGCCATCTCTTGGGCTTTTGCTTCCTAAGTAACTTCTCGAGCTTGTCTATCTCTGGATGTTCAACTAGGTTGTCCTTGTTGGACCTCCTAGTCATGCACCTGAAAAGATCTAGGAAACAAACTAAATCAAAAGGGAAAAACAAAAGCAAAAGCAAAAATCAAAAAAAAGAAATCAAAAACTGAAAATTCAAAAGCAAAAGCAAGCAAAACAGGAAAGGTTCTAGACTAGATCCTAGTCGAGTTCAAAGGTACTGCTGCAGTCCCCGGCAACGGCGCCAAAAACTTGATGTTGAGTCAGGTTTTACCAAACTCTTAGACCTCTGCAAGTGCACAGATCGCGGAAGTATGGGTATCGAACACAAGGACTGGCTATTGAGTACACTTTGAAACTATGGATTTTGGATCAAGCTAAAACAAAAGTATGATTGAGGTTGTAATGGTGAACAGAACTAGCAAGTAAACGAGGTTGTAAATCAATAAGGAAGAAGCGCTAGGTCAACAGGGGCTAATCGCAGAGAAGCAAGCAATGATCAATGAAACAATGATAGATGAATTGATTAGGGATATTGGGATATTAAGAACCGTCTAGAACACAGATCACGAATATAAAACCATTCCACTTTCGAGGCTCCGGCTCCTTTGTTAATCTACCTAGTCGCTAAACTTTTGGTATGTCCCTAGGTGATTAAATCAAGCTTTAGAATGAATAGGTTCTGATACAGTTCACTAGATTATAGTAGATCAACTTTCGCAGTCTAAGAAACCTAGCTTGTCAAAGAATATGTCCGGCGAATGATACAACACTGTCGAGGCTCAAATCAACCTAAGATCGGATTACTAGATGCGCGGTAAAGCAATCAGCATTAGTTAAGTGCACAAGACGAGACAAAGACTCTATATAATCCCTAGCTAAACATCGAAATCAAAGATCATGCAAGCAACTCATTGATTAGTAACCCTAGCAACCTAACTAGTGGATTACTCAGACATGATCAAAGCAAACACACATAGAGATGAAGAAAACATGATTGCAATAAAACTTAAGTAGAAATCGAAATACAAGGCGGCTCTCTTTTCACAAGAGGCTAAAAAGCTATATATATAGTGCTAGGTCTTCAGAGGCGGCTTAGGGTTAAGCCGGGCTTGAAAATACGTGAAACGGGCTTCAAAACGGGCTTCGGGTCGACCGCGGCGTTCGGACGGTCGGTCGGGACGATCGGCCGGATCGGGTTGTGGTCGTGGTCGGAATCGGACGGTCGTGGCCGGACATTCGCGGTCGGCCGCTGTGGTCGGACGGGTGAAGATTGGCCGATGCTTTCTCGGCCGGACGCGGGACGTGCTTCCCGGCTCGGACGGATGCCATCGGCCGTGGTACGCGAGTTAGGTCGCGGCCGCGAGGCGTTGCTTCCCGGCTCGCGCGGCATGGTCGTGCGCGGCATGGCGTGAGTGGTCGTGGCTTGGCCGACCGCGGGACATTGCTTTCCCGGGTCGTGATGCGTACTCGGCCGGATGGTTTGAACTTTGGCCGAGACTTCAGACGGACGGATTTGATTTTGGCCGACGCGGAACATTCGTTTCTCGGCCAGCTCTGCACGGCTTGGCGCTGTTCTCGATAGAGCCGTCTGGACCAGTCTTCACTCTTTTGGTTATAACTCCTTTTCTACTCATCCAAATGAGGCCGTTCCAGTTGCGTTGGAAAGTTAACTCACTCAGAGCACGCAGGGAACTGGTCTTGATGAAATCCATTGAGTAGATCTTTTTCTGGGCCCTCTTAAAGTTGATGCTTGTGCATGGAGCGGCTTGAAGTGCAAATCCTATGGTTTTGCTCCAAAATGCATCATTTCACCTGTTTAGACTCTAGACACTATAAACACAGTAAAACTACCTTTTTAGATAGAAAACCTGCCAAAAACCATTAGAAAACAATACTAAAACAGTATAAAAAGCATGTAAAATAGAGGTATATCAGTTACATGGAATTTCCAGTGCACCTTGGTGAAATGGAGCTTGTGACAATCCAAAGTTTCACTTTCTGGTCTCTTTTTCTCAATGTTTAGTGTCTCTATTTGGCTATCATGTGGTCTATGTAATCACTTCCAGCGAATTGTCTAATTTTACGTGGGTTCTCATGGCGTTGGTGTATGTCCTCCACTCATCCCAAACTCCTCCTGTCATGTTCTTCTCTGCCGTGTTTTTTCAACCTCGGTTGAAACGTGGGGGGTTTCAAAGACTTCTGGAAACTGAGTATGTGACCCCATTAAAGTTCGTTGACGAGGTTACTGCCGTACTTAGGTGGGAGAAGGCTATTTTTAGGGTCAAGATTCCGGGTAAGAGTTGGTTTTTGGACGAATATGATGCTACTTCTTGGGTGAAACAGTGCGTACGCAACGGCAAATAATTGGCTTGCCGTGATATATCTAAACTTTCAGTTGGCTCCTGCTCACAGTTCAAAGTGTTTCCGAATGGTCTACAAGTGCTTTTCTCTATTTATACTCCTTTGTTGGTATGATTTGAATGCTGTAGTAAGTTGTATGGACAAAGTATTCAGGTCGAAGACTCCAATTTCGAACCACCACCGGTTGGTTTCTGGATTTGTTTATTGTGTGGCTTTGTCTTCGCGGACAATGATGAGTTTAAGTTTTTAATTTGCTGCACTACAAAACTTATATGCACGGAATGGGAGTTATGTGTCGCCCACACTGGGGTTCCAATGACACATCCACGATAACTATTTGGTGGTGTGACGTTACTTGCGAATTAAGCAAGCTTGCTGTTGCGTCACACAAAGAAGAGTTTATCAGATTGAGGAGACAATGGGACCAGGCTAGTGAGAGTTTACACCAAAACAAGATAACAAAACCGACTGCACAATTGAGTATCTTGGCTAACACCTATTCACATAGCATGCCTTATGGGTCAAAGAGCACATCTTCAGGTTCACTATCTTGGAGTGATTCATTTTGCCATGAGAAATTTTTCACTCTTGGATTTTCTTTGGATGGAAATGCATGTGAGAAGTGTGGGTCGTTCAATGCCACTAACGGTGACAACAGATATGTGTAGATAATTTATTGGATTTTTTCTCTATTGATATCTTATTCCGTAACTGGCCGTGGATACTTGGAAGGGCTGCATATTACAGAACAAAGTAGAGCTTGTGTTTCTACTCGGGATGTACCAATGCATCTAATTGGATGCTGAAATGGATTTTGTTGACAAAGTTCTCATTGGTGATGTCATGATGGTTGATTCGGTGTCTCACCAAGATCATGATTTTGATTACTTACACCAAAGTAATTTATTACAGAGAGAAGAGTACCAGTTCGGTTTCCTTTGGGGCGTCTTATTCCGTATTGTGGGTCCTTATATTGGTCTGTTCACATATGCGAATGCGGCCAAGCTTACCAGAGTACGAGGTTTTCGTCATTTTCCCTTTTCGACACGTGTGTTGCGTCCTTTTGGTTCTTTCGTAACCTTCCCGACCATAACTTTTGAGTGGCATCGTGGGGTTTTTAAGTGGCGAATAAGAGATTTTCATTGCCCACAATTGAGGTCCAAGGTTATTTACTGGAGTCACGCTACATGCGCATCCAGCAAACTGTTGCTTGTTGTTTTGACTTGGGAACATGTGATTCAACCCGATTGCAATGGCCGAACAATGATCAAGATTCAGGGACGAATCTTTTCAAACCCAGAGGGAGTGATGCAGCGAATAATATGGATTTGGGCTTTTAACGACAAACATGTTCGTTGGGCTTTACGTGTTTGTCAAGCAAGGTTATGTCTAGATTTAATTGATAGATTTCTTTTACTTAAGGATAACTATAATTCCTTGTAGATTAGGATCACAAGATACTATAAAGATCTTCCTCCGATTGTATAAATAGAATGTTGTATAGATTTGTAAAGATAACTTTGATATTGAATAAACCTTAAGCTTTTGTAGCCAAACAAGCTTTTCATAGCACGGGAAAGAGTATTCCCAACCTCTATCGAGCTTTCATAGCACGGGGAAGAGTATTCCAAACCTATTGATCTAAACGTAGATCTTCTACGTTTATTTCAAACCCGATTATACACAAATCTTGTGTATCTTCGTTATCTATCTTCCGCCTCTCCATCAAGATCTAACATCTGTTCGATCGATGCTACTATGTGTATTAACTGCTGTCGAGGAAGACTCTTCAGAAATTTCTTAACCAACTTCGGTTCCTCGATTGTTTCACCTAGAGAAGCTGCCTTTGATGCGATTTCAGCTAGCTTTCCTCCAATATCGTCGATGGTCTCGGTTTTTTTCATCCTAAGACGCTTGAATTCTGACATCAAAGTCTGTAGCCTAGCCTCTTTCACTCTTTCTGCCCCTACGTTTCTCGTTTTAATGGCTTCCCACACCTTTTTAGCTGTCTTCAGCTCACCGACTTGTAGAACCATCGCTTCTGGTATGGATGATGTGGAGTCAGGTTTTACCAAACTCCTAGACCTCTGCAAGTGCACAGATCGCGGAAGTATGGGTATCGAACACAAGGACTGGCTATTGAGTACACTTTGAAACTATGGATTTTGGATCAAGCTAAAACAAAAGTATGATTGAGGTTGTAATGGTGAACCGAACTAGCAAGTATAACGAGGTTGTAAACAATAAGGAAAACGCTAGGTCATAGGGGCTAATCGCAGAGAAGCAAGCAATGATCAATGAAACAATGATAGATGAATTGATTAGGGATGTTGGGATATTAAGAACCGTCTAGAACACAGATCACGAATATAAAACCATTCCACTTTCGAGGCTCCGGCTCCTTTGTTAATCTACCTAGTCGCTAAACTTTTGGTATGTCCCTAGGTGATTAAATCAAGCTTTAGAATGAATAGGTTCTGATACAGTTCACTAGATATATAGATCAACTTTCGCAGTCTAAGAAACCTAGCTTGCCAAAGAATATGTCCGGCGAATGATACAACACTGTCGAGGCTCAAATCAACCTAAGATCGGATTACTAGATGCGCGGTAAAGCAATCAGCATTAGTTAAGTGCACAAGACGAGACAAAGACTCTATATAATCCCTAGCTAATCATCGAAATCAAAGATCATGCAAACAACTCATTGATAGTAACCCTAGCAACCTAACTAGTGGATTACTCAGACATGATCAAAGCAAACACACATAGAGATGAAGAAAACATGATTGCAATAAAACTTAGAGTAGGAAATCGAAATACAAGGGCGGCTCTCTTTTCACAAGAGGCTAAAAAGCTATATATATAGTGCTAGGTCTTTTGAGGCGGCTTAGGGTTAAGCCGGGCCTTGAAAATATGTGAAACGGGCTTCAAAACGGGCTTCGGGTCGACCGCGGCGTTGGGACGGTCGGTCGGGACGATCGGCCGGATGATCGGGTCATGGCCGCTCCTAGTACGATCGGAACGGTCGTGGCCGGACGGTTCGTGGTCGGCCGCTGTGGTCGGACGGTGAAGATTGGCCGATGATTTCTCGGCCGGACGCGGGACGTAGTTTCCCGGCTCGGACGGCGCATCGGCCGTGGTACGAGACAGGTTGCGCGGCCGCGAGGCTTGTTTCCCGGCTCGCGCGGCATGGTCGTGGCGCATGGCGTGAGCGGTTGTGGCGTGGCCGACCGCGGGACATGTTTCCCGGGTCGTGATGCGTATCGGCCGAACGTTTGAACTTTGGCCGAGACTTCAGACGGACGGATGTGATTCTGGCCGAGCGTGAAACAACGTTTCTCGGCCAGCCGGTCTGCGCGGTTTGGGCGCTGATTCTCGATAGAGCCGTCTGGACCAGTCTTCACTCTTTTGGTTGTAACTCCTTTTCTACTCATCCAAATGAGGCCATTCCAGTTGCGTTGGAAAGTTAACTCAATCAGAGCACGCAGGGAACTGGTCTTGATGAAATCCATTGAGTAGATCTTTTTCTGGGCCCTCTTAAAGTTGATGCTTGTGCATGGAGCGGCTTGAAGTGCAAATCCTATGGTTTTGCTCCAAAATGCATCATTTCACCTGTTTAGACTCTAGACACTATAAACACAGTAAAACTACCTTTTTAGATAGAAAACCTGCCAAAAACCATTAGAAAACAATACTAAAATAGTATAAAAAGCATGTAAAATAGAGGTATATCAACTCCCCCAGACTTAGATCTTTGCTTGTCCCCAAGCAAACAGAATCTAATCCGTGAAAGAGGTTTGAAAACGTGGAACTCCCTTGCTCTTTTGAATATCCTGTGAAGGGTTCCTTTCCTGTATTCCACTAAGAACATAGGCAACATAAGGTTAGCTTCACATACACCCTGCAAGTTTAGCGAACAATACCAACCCAACTAGTCTCATCCAGCAATCCAAACTCTCTATTGCTAACCTCTTGCATAAATTTAAAGCGTGAGTTCTTTATCAAGGGAACATCGATCAATTGAACTTGTTCTTACCCACTTGATCTTCTCCAAGATTGTCTTTGAAGTGCAATGAGTTCCTTTCCTCTCTCTTTCTCACATCAGAACTTTGAAAGGTCAATTTCTCCCTACTTTTCTAGGGTATCATTTTATTTTTTCTATTGACCCTTCTTTCAACCACAGGATAAGTCTTTAGCTTGTTCCTTGTTTGATTTAGGTATTCCATAAGACATGAAGGTACAGACATATGCATTCCTCATGCTTACTTGTTTTCCTTGTGCTCTTTGAGCTTTTTCTCATAAACATTACTTACCATTTGGGATGGGAGAGAGAGGTGAAGTCTTTGAAAATCAAGCAAGGAACTGTCGACATGTATGCCAATCCCCTTGACAAGAGTATTAAGATTGATTAAGGGTGAGGTTAACTCTAGATTGCTTGGTTACCTTAGAAATTTCGCTGAGCTAGCATGTCGATCTACTGTAAGAGCTTTTGTTAGGCTTGTGCTCTAGGGCCATGGATTGTTAGCACAACACTATCAAATCTCAAAGCAAGTTCATGGTTTCTGGACTGGTTTTGACTCAATAAAACAAGAAAACATTAAACAAAGTAAATAAAACATAAGAAAAGAAAGAAAAATGCATTAGTAACACAATAAAACTCCATACACTCAAAAGATCCCTGTTACTGAGCTAGCATGCCGATCCACTCTAGGAGCTTCTGTTAGGCTTGTGCCTTCAGCTGATGTTTGCTCTAGGGTCATAGATTGTTAGCATGACACTATCAAATCTCAAAGCAAGTTCATTGTTCCCGGACTGGTTTTGACTCAATAAAACAGAAGTTTTGAAAAAGTGGGTTAGGAAAAACCAATTATAAGATCAAAACAACCATGAACAAACACATTAGTACCGACAATCCCCCCAGACTTAACTTGCACCGTCCCGGTGAAAGAAAATCCAATTAAGGGAGTTAAAGAAAGAGGTAATAAAGTGGTTGTGAATGTAAAAAGAAAGATGTAACCTGATTTTGTGTTACTTGAAGAATGGTGAATGCAGTGGAATGATGGTAAGTGATGGAATGCAAGTGTGGTGAGGTGGGATGGGTGAGATGCAGATGGAATGAGATGGGATGGTGTGTTGGGCGCCTTGAGAGGACATGGGCGAGCGTGGAGAGGTTCTGCTCGGCCATCAAGGTCGCGCCAACTATGAGCATTCTTCTTGTGGTATATCTTCTTTACCATTGTGTGGTTCTTAGATTCCTGTATCCAAAACTCAAAACAAAACTAGACATTAACTAAAACTAATTGAAAAGAAAAGTAAGAAAAACACCTTTCATGGGTTGCCTCCCATGCAGCGCTTCTTTTGAGTCATTAGCTTGACTGATAGGATCTCTTAGTTGGAGATGGGGTAAGGGCACGGCCTGAGACATAGTCTTTTAGTTCTTGTCTCATTGTGACCTTGAGTGTGGTCTGGTGGTTCTCTTGGGCGGCCTTGGGCAGTGATAGGTAAGACAGCTTGTTTGGTGAGATGAATGGTATGGTCTTGTAAAAGACTGTCTTGTCAACATTGGCTAAGGACATTCGCCGGTTTGGAAGGTCCATGACAGCTCCAGCAGTGGCCAAAAAGGGTCGGCCTAGTATCAATGGTGTGTCACATCCTCCTTGAATGTTCATGACATGAAAGTCCACCGGGATCTTGATATCTCCAATCTCTAGAAGAACATCAATAACAACTCCTCTTGGCTTGGCTATAGTATGGTTAGCAAGTCCAATACTAATTTGAGCAGGTTGCAAGCGTGTGATGCCAAGGAGTTTGGCGGTTTGGGTTGGCATGAGGTTTATGCAAGAGCCAGAATCGCATAGTGTTCTATCAAAGTAATGACCATTTACTTGACAGGGAATAGAGAATTGACCTGGGTCTTCAATCTTGTAGAGGGTCTTGAAGGTAGGCTGAACTTTAGCTTTCTCAAAAAGCTCTTTATGTCCTCAGGTGTCTCTTGCAGTTGTGGAAGAAGGTGGTGAATGGGTAGTGGCGCCAAGCTTGTTGGAAGACATGCTGGCTGGAAGAGTTTGGACAAACTGATTGAACTCAGCAAGCTTCTCTCTTGATATGGAATTGACATACCACTTGGGTGGTGGTGATGATGGTGGTGATGGTGGTTGATTGACTGCATGAGGGGCAATGGGAAATCGTGCCTTCCTGAAAAGTTGGTGTATCTCTTCTTTGTTTTCACTAGTTGTGAAAAAGAACTCCACTAGACCATGTTTATCCCAAGCTTCTTCAAAAGTGACATAGAATGGAAGTGATTTCACCTTAGCATTGAACTCTTTAAGCTTCATGGGGCTTATCTTGTTGGGATCAATGGGATCATATTGCCAAGTATCTTCTTCTTCAGTAGATGGTGATGGTCTTTGCATTGCTTCCAAGTCTTGGAAGTGTAGAAGCTTGACTTCTTGGTGTTGGTGAGAAACGAGGGTCTTAGGGCTAGGTGTATCCATGCTCTGTTTTGGGGAAGCATTGATGTCGATGCTCTGCTCTTCATCTTCATCATTCAATTGTTCCTCATACTCTCTTTCTTCTTCTTCATTGTCCTCATGGACTTGAGTAGTGCTTCTTCTTGTGATGGCATTGCAATAAAAGGGAGGGTGGTTGGGTGTTGGACTCCTCTCTCTCTTGTAATTGGCATGAGATGATCCTTCAAGGGCTTGTAGGCGGTTGTAGATTGATCCAAGATGTTTGCTATTGCCATAGCTAGTATCTTCAATTCTCATGCTCTTGTTCAGCAACTCTTGATATTTGGAAGCAACATCAAGCTTAACTAGGTTCAAAGATCGATCATGATCCTCTCTTAACTTCTTAATGTCTTCATCAAGCTTGATCACTTGCTTGAATAGGACTTCAGATTTGTTTCCAAGCTCTCATGGATGAAATCGATTCTTCTCTCCATCTTCTTTGTACTCTCTTCTTGATTTCTCAAGTACTCTTGAAGCATATCTTCAATCTTGGTTTGGCGCGCAGCTTGATAGCTCTCCCTTGGGAAAGTGGTGTCTTGTTTATGTCTGGTGATGATGGATGGTGTTGTGAATAGCTTGGGCGTGGTGGTGGGACATAAATAGGACCTTTAGCAAATCTGTAGAGGAAAGCTCCTTTGTATCCATTCCAAGTCTTGAAAGCATGTTGGGCGTTGAACTTAGCCCATTCCTTGGCTTGTCCAGCTAGAGATAGTTGGAAAAGTTGTATCTTCTTGGGGTTGTCTCCAAGTCCATAGTCGTGGCAAAGCTGCTCAAAGTTGCATAGATGCTCCTTTGCACATTCTGAAGTAGAATTGTAGAAAGGATTCCTCTCCACATGCTTGATTAGCTCTTCATTCAAACTTCAGGATGGGGTGGTATGCCTCCCCATTCTTCTTCATCACGCTCTCTCTCCAGCTGATGAGAGTAGTGGTGGTACTTGGATTTGAAAGGTGGTTTCCTTGCAAATTCCTAAGAAAGCTTCTCTAAAATCGATCCATGACTCGATTGTAGAAGTGGCTCATGCTGCGCCCAATCTAGTGCTGGTCCAGCTAGTGATGTGCTGAATAGCATCATCTTCTTCTCAAAGTCAAAAACTCCATAGGAATCACAAAGATTGTCAAAGTGATCTATGTGCTCCATGCATACTCTGAAAACAGATATGGGTCCATCTAGTTCATCTTATACACTACAAGTGAGTTTCCACAATGTGGAGTCACAAAGGTACATTTCGGACTCCTTACCTCTTCTGGTTCCCAAATTAGGTCCATTTGATGTTCCTCCCTTGGATTGAGACCGTTTCACTCATGTTTGTCCTCATAGTCATGTGTAGAAGCTGTTAATCCATGTTTTGGTAAGTATGGGTCCATCTAGTTCATCTTATACACTACAATTGATTTTCCACAACTGGACAGAGGTACATTTCGGACTCCTTACCTCTTCCGGTTCCCAAATTTGATCCATTTGATGTTCCTCCCTTAGATTGAGACCGTTTCACTCATGTTTGTCCTCATAGTCATGTGTAGAACCTATTAATCCATGTTTGGATAAGTATGGGTCCATCTAGTTCATCTTATACACTACAAGTGAGTTTCCACAATCTGGAGTCACAGAGGTACATTTCGGGACTCCTTACCTCTTCCGGTTCCCAAATTAGGTCCATTTGATGTTCCTCCCTTGGATTGAGACCGTTTCACTCACGTTTGTCCTCATAGTAATGTCGAGAACCTGTTAATCACTGTTTATGTAAGTATGGGTCCATCTAGTTCATCTTATACACTACAAGTGAGTTTCCTCAATCTGGAGTCACAGAGGTACATTTCGGACTCCTTACCTCTTCCGGTTCCCAATTTTGGTCCATTTGATGTTCCTCCCTTTGGATTGAGACCGTTTCACTCATGTTTGTCCTCATAGTAATGTGGAGAACTTATTAATCCATGTTTG